TGCCCATTAGTACCTTAATTTGCCCAGCATCGCCCCTTCAGCAATGGATAGCCTTTCAAATAACGTCTCTAATATTCAGCAATCACTGCAATCCGCCAAGGAGCGACTCAGTTCTCTTGATGCCACTTCAAAGAATACTGTCGCGGCAGAGGTCTCCGCTGTTCGCTCCTCTCTTCACAACAGTCTGAGAAAAGCTCAGCAGGCCAAATTGCAGATGAGTTCATTCCTAGTATTACTTGAAAATGTTGAAGATCCAACGACCGTCAACATGGCCCCTCAAATTTCTTGGCTGGCTCGATCTCTCGATGGCGTTACTGCTTCTATCATCCAAGCTGAGGCATCAGCAGATAGCGCGCTACAGTCCACCATGGACTGCTGCTACCAGGTGATGGATGTCGGACGAGATGTTGAGGCCCAGGATGATCTGCTAGATGAATGCCAGTCGCAAGCAAAAGAACTCGCTAGCCAGGCAGAGAGTTCTCTGACCTCGAGCGAAGCAATTCTGGCGCAGACACAAAGGGATACTAGCGCCAAAGAAGAGGAGATTCGCATCAAGACTCGCCAGGCGAATGAGAAGAGGACTAGGAAGACAGAGCTTGATCGTGAGATATCTCAAAAGAACGGACAAATTGCAGAGACACACAGGCGACGTGAGAGCAAGAAGGAATCGGCAGGCGTAGGACTGGTATGTCCTCAAATTTGCACGTCCAAGAGACCCATCTCATTAAAGACAGATTTTGACCGGAATCGGCCTCATGGCTGCACCTTTCACTGCAGGGGCATCATTGGGACTGGCAGCAGCCGGAGCCGGATTTGCTGGGTTAGCAGAATACACAGATTATCGGACAGAAAGCTAACATGCCATAGTTACAAGGGCGTTCGTGTATCGGATCTAAAGGACGAGATTGTCGCCCTTCAATCCAGGGTGTCCGCGTTGAATAGAGAGATAACCCAAGACCAGCAAGTAATCTCGAACCTTGAGATTGAGCAGCGCAACTTGCAAGACCTAGTCTCGCAGTACCAGCGCGATATTTCATCCCGTCGATCAACGCATCAACTCTACCAAAAGCAAATCTCAGAGGCTAACCGGGTAGAGAACGACATCACAACGCTCAAGGGTGTTGCAGAAGCCACCATCTCCAGCATCAACGGCATCAACTCCGAATTGCAGGATGTAAAGGAGTGCCTGGATGAATGTAGCTCTCTCTTACAGGCCAAGTCAGTTGAATTGTCGACCTCGGCGACCTCTGTTGATTGGGTTATTGGTGCGGTCGGTAGGTGCACTAAAAGGTTTCGTGCAAAGGAGTTTGAGAGGCAGATAACACTCATGCAGCAGGTTGCTGAGGTGCTTGAGAAGGTTGAACAGGAAGGCCAACTACTATTGTCAAGCCAGAATATGGCTTTGCTGGATACTAAGCCTTGGGATGACGTGAAAAACCCAATTGTGGAGGAACATGAGACAATCCCTGAATTGATGAATGTGAGGTAGTATTGGTAATATAGCGCCAGATGGAAAATATGTTTCAAAAGTTCTAGTTCACTTATGGTAGACTGATACAGTGAGCAGTCGCGCTCCTTGCATTGGTAATAACAGTGGCTACACGGCTACAGGCTTGCTCCAATTACTGCATATTGCAGGATCTGAGTTCTAAGTTCTCTCTGCTGATTCAAGCCCTCAGTTACACGTCTCAACTGTAATATATTTCAGGCTTTACGTCTACATGTACGGCTTCACCTGCTCCATGGTCCAGTCCCAAAACTTGCTCCCGAGCTCTGGCTCTACAAAGTCCTTTCGAATCTTCTCGACCTTGCCAAAAGGAGACACTATCACGGCCAGTGTATGCTACGAAAGGTAGAGGCTTCTTACCCCATCCGCCATTGTTCTCTTCCGAGATGGTATCGCTCAGCCCCGCAAAGAGCTCAGTGTAGGCGCCATTAATAGGATCCGATGAGATCAGTTTCTGGGCACAAGTCAGCCTGAGTATCGAATGAGATAAAGTATACGTACAAACATGGCGAGTTCCATCTTGGACATGTTCTGCTGAAGGTTGGTGACAAAGTTGCCGGGGTTGAGTGCCTACACGGTCAGAAGGATCGATCAGCGGTGGTCAACTTACAAGACTGATGATGCCGGTGCCAGCGGTTCTTCGCGCAAACTCGGCCGAATGGACCACGCTAGCGGCTTTGCTGCGTGAGTACTTCATCCACGCGCCCTCCTCGCGGTGGTAATCCATGTTCGTCAGATCCACCGCCGGATTCCGCGCAGCATCAGCAGCGCTAGAAGCGACCCAGACAACGCGGACAGAGTTGGGCGCCGACCCGGATGCCGCTGCAGCCTCGAGTGCAGGACGAAGCAAAAGGGTGAACAAGAAATGCGCAATATTGTTCACACCATATTGGAGTTCGTAACCCTGCTTCGTCTTGGAGCCTTCAGGTGGGATCATAACGCCCGCGTTGTTCCACAGGACATCTAGACGACTCTCCCTCTCTAGAAATTGAGTGGCAGCCGGTTTGATTGTAGATAGGTCATCCAGCTCGAGGTGAAGAAAGTGGAGTTCGCCGGTGGAGGTGGGATGCGCGGACTTGATCTCTTGGACTACTTCTTCGGTCTTGCTCTGAGAGCGCGCAGCGAGGTAGACTTTGCCATTGTGTTGATAGAGTATATCAACGAGGAGCTTGCCTAACCCACCTGATGCGCCGGTGACGAGGAAGACCTGTGTTGATCAGTGCCTGCTGGGTTGTGCCTGTTAGCAGAAGACGTACCTTGCCCTCCTGATCGGGGAGATTCTTTTCTGTGAGAGGCGGCTTGTTAGGGACCACGGTACTGCAGCGCATTCCAAAATTAAGACTCATTTCGGCGGTAGGTAGGACAGTTGGTGGTAGGTAGAAGAACAGTTGGTGTCAGGGTTTTAGGGAACAGGGTTATCTTCTGGGGAAAGTTGGTTCAAATACATTTTGAACCATAATACATCGGTAAAGTGGCGTTCTCCATGTCGATGGTCTAAATAACTGGAGATTAAGGTTGGAGCCTCGAATGCGGCGGTAAGCCACTGATGACTAGTGTCGCGGGAATGCGGCCGCATGCCAGCGCAGAACATCAGGGAGGGAGGCATGGATCTTTTGCGTGAAATGACGTCCATCTTCAGCTTATTTGTCTATTCTGCGCAGGAGGGAAAAAGCTAATGTGTTATTTTTATCGAGACGCCGAGATCTATATCACCAAGTGGCGAGACCTTGATGGCCTCAGATCAATCAATCTTCAGCTTATTAGTTCATTGTATAGAAACCAACTAACGTGAATAAATTAGGAAACAAATTATGGCCTTTCTATCAGCTAAAAGAAGCTACTACCATTGATAATTTATACAGTCTCAGAGCTCTCAAGGCCTTGTCATTGGAAAGTATGCAAAAATATTATTAAAGTAGGTATTTATTAGCCAAGGGGTTAAGAACATATTGCACGTCAGACTTCAAGACTCCATAGATCTAGTATTACAAATATGCATCAAAGCTTCTCTCCCTCAAGCTCCTTCTCTGTCCAGTCCCACAACTTGGCAGCAAGCACCTTATCGTTGGTATGCGGCTTGCCCAATCCTGTTCGACCGATGGGCTCGTAGTACGTGCCCGAGACGACATCCTTGGACGTAGAAGCCCACAACTGGTTCAAAGTACCTGTAGGGACATCTACACCAATGAAGAGAGTTGTGATCTTCCACGCTATACGCATGATCCAGCTGTTGTCGCTCATGGTGTTGGCCAGGTTGGTGGTCACCAATCCGGGCTGGAGCGAGGCAGTCGTGAGCTGGGGATAGCGTCTGGCAAGTTCTTTGGCAAACAGAGCATTGGCAAGCTTGCTCTGTCCATAACGTGTGATTGTACCCATCTGAAGAGCCTGTCCCTTGAGCGTGTCGAACTTGATGCCCTCGGGGGGTGCATACTGGTGGGCAGATGAAGCAAGGACGGTGACACGAACATCAGCGCCCTTGTCTGCAGTTCGGAGGAGCGTTGGGAGGAGGAGCTTGGTCAGGAGTGCATGGCCCATATGATTGGTGCCGAATTGTATCTCGTACCCATCGTCGGTTGTCCCAGGCGGTACAGACATGATGCCTCCGTTGAGCAGGAGTATATCAAGACGATCAGATTCCTGTGTGAAAACCTTGGCTGCCTCGCGAATCGACTTGAAAGAAGCGAGGTCCATCTTGACGAATTTGATGGGCGCTCCAGGAACCTGCGCTTTGATATCGCTGATGGCTTCCTTGGCCTTTGCTTCGGATCGTGCTCCTAGCCAGATCTCTTTGGGGTCGTGCTTGGCAAACTGGAGAATGGACTCTTTTCCAAGACCGCTGTTTCCACCGGTCACCATGATGACTTTATCTTTTAGTGAAGGGATGTCGGTGTCGGGATTGAACCTGACGCTTTTGCTTCCTGCAGAGCCCATGATTGACGAATTCAGGGTGGAGATGGAGTTATGGATGTAGATGAAGTGATTGTTGTCAAGAACTTGAGTTTTGTGACGGTTTATTTTGAATTGAGAGTGTTGCGTTTAGGGACTTTGGCTGGCGTAGGTGATGCTTAAGTACTCTCATCTCATCATTGCGATGACTACAGCCGCTTCACGGTGTCAATTCGTTCCAAGCCCGCCAATGCTCCGCAAAGTCCGCACAGGTGTAATCAAGTCGTGGTCGGTCGACGCGGCGTCCTCTGATGAAGACTTGACCGTGTTGGGTATGGTGTGAGCGGCCGCAATATCCGCATCGCATGGACCAAGTGCCGCGATCATGTTTGCCCTGGAATGCTTAGCGCCAGATCCTTGTTTGGGCCGTCTACTAGGGCAGATTGAGGGACTTGGCGAATAAATCGCGGCCGAACCGACCGTGCCAGGAGTTATCTTCATGAACTCTATTTCATTGACCACCTGCATCGGACTTATCGGGGACTAGAAAAGAGAAATTGGCCACGGTCAAAGCAGCTCGACTCAATTCGAATTGCTAAGCTGATATTCAGTACGCTACCTGAAGCAATCCCAGCCCAACAGTCAGTAAAGTTGCAAAAAGAAAAGTAGGAATATAGGCATTCTGTAGGTCCGTCTTGTTAATAAAGACCAGCCAGAAAATCACAAAGATTCCACCCAAGATAATGCAGAAGACCAGCCACGCCAGGAACCTTCGCTGAGAGAACCCCATCTGGGCATGCAGACCCCAGCCAGGTTCTGATATTCGCTTCGAGAAAGGGGGAGGGTTTCTCTTCTTGGGAAGCATATCAACAATAGTTGTTTCTCCTCTGCCCTTTTTTGGATCACGCAATCCAAATACCATCTGCAATCCAGCTGCTCTCATGTGAAAGTCGTGAGGCAAAGGAACAGAATGGTTGTAGAATGGAGTATTAGGGGGAGGAAGCTCTTTCTGGATAGGGTTGACTTGGTCTTTGTTTTCCCAGATAACAAGGAACTGCCAAATCAGTACAGATTGTGATATGAGGGCATTTTCTAGTCTTACCTGAACAAAATCGATCGCAGTACAACGCTTCCATGACAAGAGTCGGCGTACCCAGCCCTCTGTGCTACCAATGGCCTTGTTGACCTGACGAAACAGCTGTTCGTCGTCTAAAGTCTCTGCGTTCTCAATGGGGGAAAGGTATATCTCTGTTGGCTCTGTAAAGTTTTTCTCAATGCACCAGTAAATGTCCTTTGTATCTACGGATGTTTGTACTGCCGGGGGAGCATTGGTGGCGAGGATATTAGTGCCGAGAGAGGTCTGAGATGCTTGTGCGAGATTAGAAGGTTGCATAGGGGGTCTTAGCTTCGCTGTTTGTTGTGCCTTGAAGCCTTGTCGTGTAAAAGGGAGAAGGGGAACATTGTTAGTGGTCAAAGGGAGGCATGTTGCTCTGTAGCGACAAAAGTCATCATATGAAAGAGCAAGAGATAAGTCAATGCCGTGCCACTGGGATGTGTCAGTGTCAAAATGGCTTTACGAAAGACAATCTTCACGTACTTCCCAAGTTACTACATGGTCATAGGCATCAACTTTTGGCACTGGTTGTTGTAATGGAGTCCAGTCTATTGGCCGACCAGTCCATTCCTCAATCTTGAGTCTTACGGTATCGAAGCGTGAGCGTGAAAAACGATCCCCTGGAACGAAACGAACTACTCTTAAGCCGTCATTCCAGCTGATATTCGGAAAGTCTCTCTGTAACGCATTAGCTATGAAGCACTGGCTGAAGAAGAACACACATCTAATAGCATATCGCAGACGTATGCTATTGTAGGCCTCAAGGCCGATTTGGCAAGCATGTCACTGACAACGGATTGCAACATCTCAGCTCGATGGTCCTTGGACGCCATTCGCTCAATAAATTCGAGAACCTGAGGTTTGACCTGCTCACCATCATCGAAGCGAGTATCGTTAAACACGTCAGAAGAAATATTGTCTTCTGTAGTTGTTATGTGGTCGCGAAACGCCTCTACACCAGAGGCACCTCCACAGACCAGATATGCAAGCATCTCTGTAAACACGCATCCCAATTTCCATACGTCATTAGCCATCAAATCTGATGAAGAAGGGATCTTGATTCTTGCGCTCGTTTCTACCCCTGGCATGGGAGACGCGTTCCGAACTTCTGGAGAGTCATACAGCCAAGCTGACTGACGAGCTCGACTGCCTTGCTCCCAGGTCCTGGCTCTAGATAGATCGACTGACAACCCGAAATCTGTGAGCTTGAGAGAAAGTCCTGTACCGGAAGGCTCCTCATAGATCAGGATATTTGACGGCTTGATGTCGCGATGGGCCATATGAGCAGAGTCGTGAAGGTAGGCAACTGCACTTGAAAGCCCGGGAATCTGGCCCCAAAGAGAATCAAGATTTCGGTTTCGAAGGGTTACTGGGACATAAGGATCGCGAAAGAGACGTTTCAAGTTCGAAAGAGCCAATGGAAATAGGAAGTTGAAGTGCTGTGTCGTACCCATCTCGGATCTGAAGACAGAGAGTGTCTCTATCAGGTGAGGATGATTCAAGCTTTTCAGACGCTTCAAGGACTCATATTCGGCCCAGAATTGCTCAGGACTTGTAGATTCATGTAGACGTTTGACCGCGCACTGTAATGTTAGGTTAATCAGCCTTGAACAATGACAGACATACCTTTCGGACGACATCTCTTGAACTGAGAAGATGCCCATTTAATGACAAGCGAGTTTCTACTCCGAATACCTTGGAAGTCTCACCGCTTGCAACTGGAGTTGCGTACAAGCCTTGTAAGGTTCTTCCTCCCTCGTCCGTTGCGACATTTTCAACAACAACCAAGACTTGATCCGGTGTTGTATGAGCCTTGGGCTCCAGCGAAGGAACAACCTGTGTCATTGCATCAAACAGCGGGATTTGACTTGTATCGGGAAGCTCAGGATCCTCAGTTGTGATTTGAGACGAAGACTGGCTAGAGGCTGGCTTTTCTTTTCTATGTTTTCCGCTTCTCGCCGATTTCTGCGTGGTGATTGTAAGCTCTCAGCTCCAGGTCCCAGGGATAACCTTACTCTTTTTGTCTTGTTAGAAACTGGTGCCTCCCTCATAGAGGCCTTGACAGCGTTGTTTTCTATGACAATACGCTTATATCGACTTGTCTCCATAACCCCCTCCTTCTCCTGGAGGGTAAGATCTCGAGGAGCCAGAATCAGAAACACATCATCTTTCAACTGCGAAGCGATCAGTTGACGCAGCGGCAAAATACCAAGAATGACATACAGATACTTCAAAGTCGCCATCGTAAATGTGGTTGAGAATCCTGCGCAGCCTGACAATATCTACCTGATACGTGGGCAGCGTGAACGAAACCCGGTTATTGCGATTCATTGATTCAATATGCTTGTCGAATGTCGAAGTTTGATGTCTGGAGGATACTCGTAACCCCGCAAGTAAGCTTGCCTGCAATATCCCTGCCTGCGGCTGAGACCTAGTCGATGGTGATCCAAGAGGGATTATAAATAGTCCGGCATCCGAGGGTTAAGTGCTTGCTGACATCCGTGGCGTTTAAAGCCAAGCCACCCAGACTTGTGCTTTGACGCGTCACTAATGAGGTATACAGGTAGATCAACATCTAATTGACAGACGTAGATCACATGAAAAGGCAGAACAGAATCTAATGGCAAAAGACTTATAAATCTACCAAGAAGGATAGTATAGGGACAATAAAAATTTGGATACTGTACTCTGAAAGTGGGCAAGCAAAGGAAATTGGGCTTATTTATGCAATACCAGAATCCAAATCAACAGACAGGTGCATTCACTACCTCATGCAGTACAATCTAATTAAACCGAAACGTTTAAGTGTTTCTAATAGAATAGCCGCACTCTGACTCTATTTCATTATTATTCAATAAAGTACATCAAGAATAAAGCGTAGCTATACTATAGAAAAGTAATACTTCTATATAATATAAGCTACCTCGAAATTAAGGGCGCTAATAAGATTTGCTGAGAAGGTATAACTGGTCCTTTTACCATTATAAAAATGGTAAACGTCTAAATTCCCATTATCGGTATGTGGGAGTCCTAGCAAGGGAAACGCGGGGAAGAGATGATCATTGCATGGGAGGCTTACGAGGACCTCCACCTACCGAACCGAAATCCGGGGTAACGCCAACGGACCAGTCTAGACGAGTCTAATATAAAGGCAGAAGATACTACGCTATCTAGTAACTCGGCATGTGGAGAAAACAGCGACAGCCGGGGCATGTGGAGAGGTATCTCGATGCAAGCAGGTGTTACTATTCTTTACTTTCCCCGCGTTCTGCAGTTACAACTTCTGGTGGTAGAATGTGTATCGGCCGTCTGTAGCTACTGGCGAGCGATTTGTGTACTCCAGGCAAACTGGTGCAATAATGTGACAATGTCGTGACTATATATAGGAGTATATTCCCCAGATCCCAAGTTCAATACTCTCCAGTCTGCTTTTCAGTCCATATTTCTCATTGCCTCTGCATCATACCTTAAGTTATTAAATCTCGTTTCAAACCTCGTCTATAGTATGATGCCACGAAAAGCATTGACCGTGACGGCAGCTCTCGCCACTGCGATGCTTGCATCCGCAATGCCTATGACTGGGTCAGCCAGTAGCTGTGCATCTCAGTCTTCAGACAACGGATGTACACGGGACTTTCTGACTGGCCTCGTTGACCAGGTTCTTGGTTCTATGGTGGCAAAGGATCCTTACAGCCTCCCGCTGGCAAGTACCTATAAGGCGACCGAGAACTCGCATCCCGCAGCGCTCAGCTTCATGACGTCCTGGAGGACTATCACCAAAGCAAGCTCACCCAGCATTCTGGCACTCGACACTACGCAATGCGCAGCATACTTCGCACTCGATATTAGCGAAGGCTCTGATGAGACCCAGTCAGTTCTCAGAGGTCGAGTTCAGCTAGCCGATCAGCGTATTACTGAGCTGGAGCTGTTCATCAACCGCAACCGTGGCGACCACGGCTTCTCGTTCTCTGCCGAGCAACTTCCGGCCAACAGTGGCGTCTTGATGAACCCTCCGGCTAATCGCACCAAGCCGAGCCGGGCGACTCTACAGGCTCTGAGCCAAGCACTTTTTGCCAAATCGAGCGACTTCGAGGTCAGCGTCAGCGATAGCTGTCAATTTACTGAGATAGGCTGGAAAGTAATTGACACAGGAGTCTACGGAAATGGCTCGTCAATACCGTTGGGCTGCTCTTGGCCCGTCGATCACCCAACTGATGACAACGCACGCGTTGGCTTGGTTATAGATGAAGAGCTGGGCTTCGTCCTGACTAGCGGTATAGTTCCGGGCAAAGTCTATCCATATTATGGGAATATTTCTGCGTTCATTCCCAACGATATGACTCCACCCCAGGAAGCACAAGAGGCGTGGATAAAGGAGGTTAAAGCACAGAGTAACATTCCGCTACTCACCCCCACCGAAGCGACAGGGGACACTCTTGAACTGCTCCAGTATTATGACGATGAGCTTCAGGCTATGCAGATTAATGTATATCTAAGTGGACCGAATGCCACATCAGTATGGCTGTAGCGAACAACGGGTGTGGCGCAGGAAGTGAGCTTCAGATCATGAGGACAGCAAACAGCCCCGGAATATTGTCTGTACATATCTTGTCACAGGGCCGACTTGAAACTACCCATGTCTGATGTAATTCCGACCATTTCATTGCAGGTCACAAGGGAAAGGAATATTTAGTCTGCTATGTGTATACAAGTAGATCAACATTTGACTTGTTGACATGAAGAATAAAATCGGACACCAGTCTGGTCTTTGATACGACAGTTGGAGTGCCCAGTAGCAGAATAGGTTTATCGCAACTAACGGCAGTTGCTAAGAAGTCAATGGAAAGATACAGAGTTTACCCAGAAGGAGAGTGGAACAACAGAAGCTTGATAATGCTGGGCCTTGAAAACAGGCACGATAATGGAACGCAGGCATCACGAAATACCGGAATCTGATTCAATAGATAAGTGCAATTTACCAAGTCATATCCAGCACAATCTGACCAAACTAAAACGTTTAAACTCCACCTCAAACAAGCTTGAGGTTTCCAACAGAATAGCCGCACATCTGATCAGGAGACTTGCTACGAACTCCTCCAGGTCCAGTCCCTTCAATCTTGGACCAGTCAATCTTCAGCCAAGGCTTCTCACCAAAGTCCATCGCATTAGGCTCCCAGTTAAGAAGGGGGTTGTTTCCAGAGTCTCTCTCAACCTGGAGGGCCTGCTTCCAGGGCTGTGCCCTGGTCGGCTGAGGGCAGACGAGATCACACTCCCCGGGAGAGCTTTCGCGGGTCATGGGCTCGTCCTCGTAACGTTTCTTGTCGGCGTCTGTAGGGCGACCGCGAGAATGTGAACGACTTCTCTCCATTGTTGTGTCTGTGAGTGATTAGTGGGAGTTCTTGAGGGGTTTTATGAGTCATTACTCGTTGGGTTGTAGGTATTGTAGCTTGTGATTGAGTGTTGAAGTTGAGTGAGCAATAGGTCGAACGTCGAGCAACTCGGTCTTTTATCATTGAAGCAGAGCCTCAGATCTGAGCATCCAATCAAGGTCGAACAAGATATCACAGACGTGAGAAATCCGATCAACAATCGATTGGCCACTCCTGTGCATCCATTTCGCTGAGGGTGCTAACGTTGTCCAACCACGGTAGCGTCCCACGCCGAGATAATCAACCGGATTATCTCTGCAGTAGTGACTGCATGGAACTGATCATGAGATCTTTTTGCGCCAATGATGAGGTTCTACCCCGCTTCAGATGAGGCTCTGTGAGGATGATCGGTTAGAATCTGCCAATCAACTGGACAAGAGCACAGCCTGATTAGTGACTTGAGACTTCGGTCCCGAGATTTCTGTCAGCGCGGTTTTAAGTTTCAGATGCAATTCCATTAGACGTGAAGATTATGATATTTAGAGGTGCAGATAAGGGGCCTTCACATGGGCGACAATAGAGGCTCACACAAATGGATGATTGATCACGTATTCACAATCAAGACTGAATGATCCATTGACTTGATGAAATAAGTACAAGAGACATCTATCCAATCACATATACCCTGAGCTCGATGCTTTCCCGTATCTCCTCCGCAACAGCAGGGTCCTCATCAAAGAACGAAGTATGCGGCGTGTCTACTATCATCAGTACATCCCTCAACGAGGCTCGGCACTTACACATGGCAACATCCTCACTCCTCGCCAGCGAATCCATCGTCTTGATCAGCCAAACCTCTTCATCAGATTGGCCACTAACGTAGTACCACTTCTGATCCTTTGAGTAAGAGAAAATAATATTCTCACTCACAACGTGGGGGTAGACCAAATCACTTCGATGGCCGTCCCTTTCATCACATGTACGGTAATCACAGAGTGTGAGGGGGTATTGGCGGACGGGTTTGAGGGGTTTCCAGACACTGGGCTGTCAGAGGGGGATGTACTTGGAGGGAGACTTACTTTATTATTCGGAAGCGCTGAGAGAGGATCGATGGGGCTTGGGAGCCAAAGTCGTGATTAATCTTTGCGATTGTCCCTTCATAGGTTTGGTCTGTACGTGAGTTGAGTCGGGCATTACGGTATTGGAACATACCATTGTGAGCGACCTTGCTGGGTCTGCCGATGTACCCTTTCTCATCTTCAGGTGAAGAGCCTCGCGGTTGACTCTGACGGACCTACTTTCATTAACCCTGTCCATGGAAATCCGGGAGACATACAATATGATCAAATACACAAACTTTGACATGGCTCCCAAGAACTTCCTTCATAAACTTGACCACTGCAGGATACCCTTCTTCTTGAAACGAAGGCCCAACATCAGAGAACTTGTGCTTCCAGTTTACCAATTGGAAGCCATTCTTGTCGAGTGTGAAATCTGATTCATGGCCTCTGATGTCAGAGATCTGGACCCGTGCACTTGTGTTGATGACATTTGTGTTGGCGATTTTAGTCTGGGTGAAGGGAATGTTGGAGTAGAATGGTTTCTCGGTTGCCCATTTCGGATCTGAGGCGTCGAAGAATTGGAGGGTTGCATATTTCGTTGGGAGAGTGTCCAGATTCTCGCAATCGGCCTTTGACTTTGGATTGGGCATGATTTCTGTGGTAACTTGATCTCAATTACAACATAAATTACACTGAAAACTGAATAGCTTTGATGAATTTATCCTCAAGAACTCGCTTCACAAAGTCAAAGTCAAGAGCCTCATGGATTGTCCCCGCACATGCAGTAAGCAGCCAGCCTGCTTGAGCCATCCACTACAACCCTGCGAGTTCCAATTGGTGTCATATTTTATTCACGCATCTCTACCAAATGAGAGCAATGCCCAGAACGCCATCACGAAATGAGGCCCGAAAGCCGCTTGTGACTCGCACTGTCTTTGCATCTGAACCCTCCAACCGATCACTGAAGCAGCGGCGGAGCTTTTCTCGGACCGAAAGTGCCCTCCCATGCGTTCATGAACTGGAGAATCTTGGCCTCCTGGTCCTTGGCTGCGAGGACAGCGAGTCCGAAAGGGCGACCGTTAAAGTCCAAGTATCCGAGCGGAACATTACCAACGGGGTAGCCTGAAAGTATCAGTATTACTCGTGAATCATGGATTAAACATACCGCTTCCACTTGCATACGCCTTGATTGCTGTGTCGCTTGATCCGACAATCACGTCAACGCCATATTCCTTGAAGATGCGGTCTAATCCTTCGTCGCGCGCAACCTTTCGGAGGTGAGAGAGATTCTTTTCGTAGTCTTCAATGGAGACATCCGATTCTTGGGCATCGATCAAGAGTCCTTGGTCATCGTAGCCTGAAAAGTTAGCCGGGTCATCATTTGAGATGAGGACATACCAGGAGGCATTTCGAGATCGGGATGGGCTTTGTTGAACTCGACCAGATCTTTAAGGGAATGGATCTTGGAGTTTTCCGCCGACTCGAGATATTTGTTGAGGTCGTGCTTGAAATCGGCCACTATTTCGTCAACTATGATCATCCTGCGCGGGGGGGACTTACTCATGATGACTCCCTCACTGTCCTTCCCATCAAGCATGAAACAATCGGAAGGAGGCGGAAGAGGAACATCGCCGACATACTTCTCGGCTAGTCCCTCCATTTTGTCGTACGCAGCTTGGATCTCGGTGTGCTATAAAGTCAGCAAGCTCATGCAGTCAGTGGGTTACTCACCATCTGCTTTGTCGCACTCTCAACAGGCTTCAGGTAGTCCTCCCCAGGCCACCACTTCTTGAAGTCCACTGTCGCAATAGACAGCTCATCCCAAGATCCTCCCAGAGTCGCAAACTCATCGGTCCCAGAGATGACGTCAAGCAGAGCGGCGAGATCGTATGGCGTCTTGGCCATTGGTCCAGCCGAGTCCATGGTATGACTGATGGGAATGATCCCAGATTGGGAAACTCGTCCGATTGACGGTTTGATCGTGTATAAAGCTGCTCGCGATGCGGGTGACACGAGGGATCCGTCTGTTTCGGTGCCGATGGAGAGGGGGGCGTAACCTGCGGAGACGGCGACTGCTGAGCCTGTGGAAGAGCCGGAGGGGTTCTGAACTGTCAGTATTGGATGTGGCGAGTCACGGGGTACTCACGCTGTGACCGTTGTTGCTGTCTTCAGGATCGATACCGCCGCGAACGTAGGCGGATTGGCATTGACCGCCTTTGCCGGACCAACCACTCGGGAGGTCGTTGCTTCTAAGAGGAGTGAGTCGCTGAGAGTCAGTCTGAAGGTTAGACGTACCGGTAGTATGCCCATTCCTGGCGAGTAGTCAGTCAACATGGCCAAACTCAGAGACTGGAACACGTACACTCAGATTCGCTTTGCCGATAATGATGAGTCCAGCTTGGATGAGCTTGTCGACGATGTCGGCATTCACAGTCGGCGTCATGCCATGCAACGCCCAAGAACCGCACGTCGTCTCCATTCCCAGATCAGGAACCGTCGCGATGTTGTCCTGGAAATGTCAGTTTCGCGCATCACAGCGACTCCAAGAACACCGCCATACCTTGATCACAATAGGGATTCCATGCAAATGCCCTCGGACCTTGCCATCCTTTCGCTCCTTATCAAGCGCCTCCGCTCTCTGCCGCAGCTGATCCTTCGGCACCAAACTCAACATCGCATGAAGGTACTCATCATGCTTCTGAATCATCTCGAGGCTCTTGTCCACCAAGTCAACACTCGTGAAATGCCCATTCATCAATCCGGATGCGAGAGTCTTGGAATCGGCAGTGAGGAGATCAGGCAGAGTGCGACTCTGCGAAAGAAAGGGCGCCATTTGACGGAGATTTGCCCAGGTGAACATGATGTAGAGTGTAAAAGTGACGAGAGAAATGAAGGCGATGAAATGGATCTGATGCAGAGCCATGCCTCGCATTCTTGCGGTGGTGAGGAGAAGCCTTATAAAGGTGAATGCGGCAGGCTGATGCAATTAACCGATTCCACGTGATTGTCGGTACAACAGTCGCAGCGGCAGGCAGCGAAATGATCAAACCACTCATTGTTCAAATGGACCTTTTGATACCAACGTCTCCAGATCTGGTGGGCAGTGCAGACTCATAAAATCTTCCAAATCTTGGATAGAAATGTCTTGGGGGTCATTGTCTGAGTTCTCCAGTAATCGCTCTTGGACTGGCCTGTCACGAAAATCTGACAGATATCGATCTAAGCAGAATGACTCGGAACAAGGCTCAGAGGGAGAGTTTCCAAATGAGCTGAATGAACCAGCTTGTGCTTCTGATGACATAATTTTCTAAGCGGTCAGTGTGTTCTCAGCCTCAGCGACTCTCAAACTCACGAATTCGTTAATCTTGTACATGAATCAACGGACAGATCAATATGTCAATGTACGTCAATCTCATGAACAGACCCCAACTTTAATAAAATTCACAAAAACGCTCATTCACGGACACTGAGGTCTGCCGATTTCCCAATCCAGTAACATAGCCTTACATTCATCTCATTAACATGTTTGGCTCTCATCTCATCTTGCTTTTCTCCGATGACACTTCATCAGGCTGAACCCATGCAACAACTGATATTATCCATCTACTGAATCGTGTCACCGATTTCCCAAAAGGGAAGACATCAGCTGAGGACGATGACGAGGGTAAGCACGCCTGTCTCACATTTGCGATCTTGACGCCCGATGAATCTGACCTCAATTAATTACCCCAAACTAATGCAGTCGTGGTTAATCCCTCCTCATCACCAGGCATGATCATCGGTTCAGCCCCGATAACCTTAAACCCAACAGACGTGTATAGCTTAATCCCCATTGGACTCCCAAAAACCGTAGCGACAAATCCCTCGCGCTCTGCCTTTTCCATTCCGTATTTACAAAGAGCAGCTCCGCAACCTCTTCTGCGATAATCGCGATGCGTTGCGAGATTAACAAGGTGAAGCTGCTTGCTGCCGAATTGACTGAAATGCATGTCATAAACTTCGTCTACGCGCGACGCGAAATATCGCAAGTGAGGGAGGTTTGCATCGCGACGTTGGTTGTCGCCCAAAACACCGGGTTTGACTGGGTTGTTAGCTGGGATGCGAAAATTGAGGCTGACATACCTGGTTTGACACCAGTAAGACCAGAGACATCCCAGATCCCCAAGGCGACAATCTTTTGCCCAGCCTCTATGACAAGAATGTCATAGCTTTCGGGCTGTTTCAAAAACCCCTCATACTCGACCCTGGTCCACTTCCATTGATCTTCGGGGTATTCATGTCGATATGGGAATCGATAGTCTCGTTCTGGATCATCAGGAAAGGCTTCAATAGCAAGTTTTGTAATGCCGTCCAAGTCATCAATCGTAGCTTGTCGCATACGGAGTTCTTGATCGATTGTTCGCTCCATGGTTGTTGTAATTCCCACTGTGGCTGGTTGATTCGTCTTTAATGGTGGTTGTCACCAAATGTTTACCGTCTGAAAAGAGTAATCGGTAGGTGAGATTGCAGATCTTTGCTCCTTATGGTAGTCGGTAGAAACAACGTCTGACAAGTCACGCCAGCTCGGGATCCATGCCTGATGTGGAAATCGGTAGAGGCCCTGAATATTTAGCTCCCTACCCCACAACTTTATTGCGTGGATCTTTTGTACCGATTACTGAATTAAGCAAAATGATTGAGAACGGTAGGTCCTTTTGTCTGTGTTCGTGTTTTGCTCTGCTGACTGTGGTAGTGGACTGGTTTGAAGTGATTGACAATCTGGAGGAGGATTTGTTTGACGGTGACGACTGGCTGTCGGAGCTTTTACGCGAGGAACCGAAGGATGGCGTCAATGTCGACGTGGAACCCGTGGAGAGCTCGGCGCCCGTGGCGGAAGAGTTGACTCTGGATCCGTCACTGTTGACTCTTCCGACTTACACGAATTATCCCCGGAGTTACACTCAGACATTTGAACCTCGTGACCTTCCGATGGATCATGTGTTTCCGTTGACCCTGCAACAAAGTGTCTCTACAGAAGATGAGATACGGTTCACACCGAGCACCAACTCCATCCTGACTCCGTCTGGGTCAAGTGCGCATTCTCAGAGTCCTCCAAGAGCAGTGAAGACTCAGAAACGCAAGCCCAGACCAGATCATAAGGCGGACCGATCAGATGTTCTGACCACAGATCTTGTAAGATACCTGAATCAGTGTTGTTCTCACTAACTCTTCAGGCTCCCAAAACAGAGTATAAGCATGATCAGGGCGGTAACCTTCAGGGTGTATTCACTGTGTCTGGACTGAATACTAGGGTTAGAGGTCCATTCACCGAAGAAGCCCGAAAGGCCACTGCGATTGCGAGAAAGAGAGGTGTTTGCGAAAAGTGTCGTGGGATGAAAGTTCGAGTAAGTTTAGTGATCCTCAGCTGGATCATGCTAACTTGGTAGTGCGTAATGCCAGAGAATCCCTACGAGCCATGTCTGAGGTGCTCAAGATTGACGATTCTGAAACGCCCATGCATCAGAGTCAATCTTAACGAGCTTCCGTTGCACAGACTAGGTATGTTCACCAACTCTCGACCTTTTCATCACCGGCTACTGAACTAACCTTTCAGGATCTACGCGCGACAACAAGCTATACGAATGGCTGTCCATCAAGGATGTCATGAACGCAAAGCTAAACATCGACCTCGATCGACATACAATCAAGCTGACCCAAGGATTTGACTGTGAAGTCGAAGTCACCGTATCAAAGTTTCAACCTTTGCCCGGAGACAAAACCTCATATCCATGGAGAGACTCTGCAGGAAACCAAAGGATGCTCGAGTTGCCGCACTACTACATCGCCGACATGGATAGTCATCAGAGGGTCATTGATGAGTACAACCTCAAGTCCTACAAGGTGTATATTCAGAGACTTCTCAAAGGAAAGAGTCCCTTGATGATCTGGACGCTTCAAGAGGCCATACGGTTCTCGGAACAACACAACAGCTCCCTTGTCAAGGATAGTCTTCGGCTTTGGGCTGGAAGTCGACTCACTGAGTTGCCGTGGATGATCTGCGGCGAACATACACTCGGTCAGATTCCAGTTCAAGATCTCGAGTGTCCCCGCAGTGGTACGATACCGATTCCTCCAATTATGGACACGCAGATGGACCATCTCGTCATCAAAAACATCATGACGCCGCTTCGTCAGAGGATTCTTGCAGGTCTGCAGACAAAGATCATGGAGAAGAAGCGCGAGAATTGGTACGAGATATATCTCACGACATTCGTCCTTCTCAGTAACATGGAACGTCAATTCGCGCAGGTCTTGTACATCATCGACTGGTACGGAATGGAGAGTCGCTTCGGCACAAGAGGAAACTCGTCCGTCAGCGAGTCCTTCATTCACTCATGCAAAACACTGCTGGCATTCTTTCACTATGCTGGTGGAAGTCATAAACCGCTTGCGCTGGATTGGAAAGGTTCGAAAGCGCCTCTTGGGATCATGACGCAGCAACAGGCTGAGTATTTGGACAAGACGCAGAAACAGATTGATCGAGAGGGTGAGGGGTTGACGGGGTTGAAGACGGAGTCGATTTACGAGAGGGATATGTATTGGTGCCATCAGTTGTTGCTGGGGGATTGCAAGGTGGATGAGCAGAATGATAGGGAGATTGATGAACTTAAGGAGGAGGACTACATTTTTCACTGAGACGGTGTATTTATCTTCTGGATAAATAGGTGATGATTTATGGCTTCACAATGATATGTATGACATAATTAATGAGCGGCTAGTATTGTGACATGCTCATGCCTGCTCAGGGGCGATTTTGTGCCTATGGACAGATCCGTAGCAATCAACGCCAACTATGGGCTCCCATGATAGCTTAGCAACATAATACTTATACAAAGGTGCATTGTAATACTTACTGGGCCTAGAACTGATAAGTACGGTAGCTGGCCTGGGGGTCTCTGGCCCATTTTGGTGGGGGACTTAGTTGACAACCAGCTGAGGTCGCTACTTGTTGTATACATTCTCTGTCAAACCGTCAGCATTGTTGTGATAGAAACTTAATTATTATTTTCCCTCCGCACTCTTGTCGTAACGTCTTGATTCAATTCGGTATCAATCCGTAGGGTGACCTGATACAGCATGGGGGCACCTTCCCCATGCCCTGTCAGACACGGAAATCCCACATGGCGATTAAGCTTAAACATCAAGGGCCAATAGAACATAGTGGACTATCCCAAATGGGATATGTACCAATGCTTCGAGAACTGTGAGTGATGGAAGACGCTGGCAACACGCTGAAAGGAAACAAAAGTACCTAAGTGATAAGGTTTAGGTAACTTAGCATAAGTTTAGTATAAGCTTAGTGTATGTAAACTTGGGATATATTTTACCGAGTTTATTTTAACATCCTCTATCAAGGTCTGACATTTTCTTGCCCCCCGAAGGCCGGCCAGTTCACTGGGTGGGTATGAGTCCAGGTATTAGGCACAGTTCAAGTGTAGCGTACAGAGTATCCCCAATGGCGTAGAGGACAATGATTCCTTTGACTCACAAGCAAGGCGGCTCAATTTGTTGATTCATGGATACGCTTGAGCATATGATTCTTGGCCAGGAAAGGCATTTAAGCGTGTCAGTAATTGGAAGTCTATGAGCCTTCCTTAAACATGGGGGAAAGACTCAATTGAAAATAACTATTCTGAATATTCAATCTGTGCGAAAAGCTAATCACCAATGTCGTCAAGGAATCAACAGACAGTCAGCATTCGCAGCCTCTTCTTCAAACAATTACGACATCTCCTTCTCTGGGACCTCTGTGTGGTGAGTAGACTGGTCACGGTAAATGATGCTCTCAAGACCGATCTCACGGTTAATCTCAGCCATGCGCTCGTTATCAGCGAGGGCAGTTCCTTCGGATCCAAAGATGATGTCCTAGAACAGTCAGCAGCTGTGCTATTAGAGCTGGAGGGATACGTACCATCTCTTCGAGTGATAGTCGTTTGGTCTCTGGAACGACAAACCAGATGAAAGCTGCACCAATCCATGTGAGCAACCCGAACAGGATATACGTTCCGTAGGTGATGTCTTCCAGCATGTCTGGTGTGACTTGTCCGACACTGATCAAAATTAGCTAGCATAAAGAATGCGAGTCGCGTCACATACATAAAGTTGTTCATCCAGTTACTTGAGGCACCAAGAGAGGTACCATAAGGTCGCGTGCTGAGAGGCCAGACCTCGGCGACGATGATCCAGGCACAAGGACCCCAGGAGTCTAGCATCATTAGCATCAGTCGACAAAAGAGAACTGGGCGTGAATTTACATCCAAAGTGGACGACAAACAGCCAAACCATGCAGATAGCAGCCCAACCAGCAGCCTTGTGCGTCTCAAATTGGTCGATGTTCTTGGCAAGAATGACGGCGATGATGAGATGGCAAGCACCCATGCCAATAGCGCCGACAGTCAAGACAGGCTTACGGCCGAGTCGGTCAATCCACAAGACTGCAGGGACGGTAGCGATAAACATGACGATACCGACGACACCAGTGGCCAAGAGACTGGTGGTGTTGCTGCTGAGACCAAGTTGTCCAAAGATCTGAGGGGCGTAATACAGGACCTTGACTCTGTTAGCTGATTGGATTCACGTATATGCAAGGATAACTTACAGCGTTGATACCGGTCCATTGCTGGAAGAACATGGTCACGGTAGCGACAATGACACGCTTGAACATGGCCTTGGACTTGAATAGAGCGCCAATAGCAACGAATTGGAGCTTGACAGTGTTCATTGCTGTCTCCGCTTGGAGATGGGGGAATCTCTCAGCCAAGCTTCGCTTCTCGAAGAGTGACTGAGCCTTGATCTCGAGGAATTCCAGCTCGATAAGTTCGTGGTCGGTAGGGAGATCTCGAAGGTTGGCCAGTACCTCTCTAGCCTCCTCTTCTCTGCCGTGGTGGATAAGCCATCGGGGTGAGAATGGCATCCATGCCATGCCGACGAGTAGGATAAGAGCTGGAGCGAGTTGGAGGCAGATTGGGATTTGCCAGGCGGCGTCTTTCTGACCCTCGCCAGTTCCACCGATGAAATGGCAGCCGCTGTCAATTGTCAGTGTATGGATGGTATCTTGGAGCGTTAGTCTTACTAGTCAATCCAGAAACTAATCATGATACCGAAAGTAATGGCAAGCTGTTGCAGAGCGACCAGGGCACCCCGAACTTCACTATGACACTGTAAGCCTCCGTATATCAGTAGCGTTGGTGGTCACTTACGGCGGAGCGCATTCGGAGTTGTAAAGCGGAACAATAGTGGACAAGCTACCGACTCCCATACCACTACAGATGTTAGCTGCGATCAAAGCATGTTGGAATGACATACGTGATGAATCGCCCAGCGAGAATGACATTGTGTCCAGCTTGAATGGCGGTAGACTGGATGACGACGCCGATGATGAAAACACAAGTAGCAATCAAGATACCATATTTACGAGAGCACAATTCCGCAATGGCACCAGACATGACAGTGCCGAGCCATGCACCGAGTTCGAGAATAGATGTAAGCCAACCCTTCTTGGTCTGGTTCTTGATATAATCCCCCATGTCTATAGATGTCAGCAAATCCCCACAGAACAATAAGACGAGTCTTACGGCTCTCAAATGAAGGCATTGTCAGAATGCCCGAAAACATTCCCTGGTTGTAACCGTAGAGACTACCTCCGATGCAGGCAAACGCGGCAATTCGGGCGACCTTCCAGTTCTTGACGAGGGCTCGCGCGCCACTGGCACCCATAAGCGCCTGGCGCCGCTGGAGGGCGGCATCGTAAGTGCCGACTGTAGTTGTTGCGACACCCATGTTGACTCTGTTTCGGTCTTGGCTGTTGGCTGTAAAGTGTAGAGTCGCAGTGGACTCGATGCAACTGCTTGGAGTACCAGAGGGAAAACACTGCAGCGACGTGCTGTTGCATTTGTATCTATATATGAAATCTCACCCGGCAGTTTGAGCCTTTGAGGCTGCAGGATAAATCCTTGTATCATCCATGTGTCTGTATTACCAGTACATGACAAGCAAGGAATCAATTTCGGCTAATTCAAGAGGCATACACGATGTAACGGGCCGAATAGAAGCGACAGAATTATCCAATATCCGAGCTGCGTTTGTGATTTGCTTTGTTTCTCTTTGCATTATTGTCACTCTGAGTGAAACATTGCCAACCTCGCTTTTCCCCATGGGGACAGTTTTGCCTTTAGCCTGAAGGCGCTTCGCAACCTTGTCGACTCAGGCTAAAGGCGGGAAATGGGTTGATGGAACGTAAGACTGCTAAATATGCGCGCCTGTAGCAGCGCAGGGCCGTAAGGCAAGAATCTGAAAGGAGAAATGATACGAGTCGATCTGCGGGGAAAGCTGGGGAAGATTGGGTATTAGAATTCACATAATAGCCGATCCTGGCCCTTCGGTCGTTTCCATTGCTGCCGGTCGAATGGATTTGGGGTAACATAACATTGAGGGCAGTAAGACGGAGGTATATTGAATGAGATTTAAACTACTGTGCCCCGGAGCAAACTATTTAAAGGACGATTTCTGCCAAGACATCTAGATAACAGCCGAGAGAAGGCGTCTGGGCGCGGACTTCCATGACCAGGGGGTCTGGGGCTCGGGCTCGTCGAGGAGGACAATGCCAGTCTGGAGATCCATATCAATGGCCTTGACGTACAACTTCCAGTCGCGAGAGTAGATCTTGTAGCCGAGATACAGGACGAGAATGATGGGACCGGCGAGGAAACCCATGAAGAAAGCCTCAGCATCGGGAGGAGAGCCGTCAGGAGCCTGATTTGTTAGCATGATGAATATCGAATCACGTTCATTGGGTGAACTTACATAGAGACAAGAGTAGAAAGTGGCAATGAGAGCAATGGCGTTGAGGAAGACGCCGAGGTAGCTGCCCCAGACACCGAAGGGAGTCTTGTAAGGGACAAGGTCCAGGTTGATGCCCTGCGCCTTGAAACCAGATCGCATACGGGCGTGAGCGAGGCAGATGGTGCCCCAGACGAAGAGGAAAGCAAGACCGGACAAAGCCAGAAGCCAGTCAAAGACGGTACCTCCGTTCTTGGCCTCTCCGACATAGGCCAGAAGACCGAAAGCAAGCTGAATAAGGACACACCAGAGGGGACGTCCCTTCTTGTCAATGTAGTTGAGGAACTTGGGAGCGTGGCCACGGGTAGCCATAGCCTGCATGGTGCGGGTTGAGCCAAAGGTACACGAGTTGGCGACGGACAAGACGGAGATGGTGATGACGGCGTTGAAGATGGAGGGCAGAACCTTGATGCCTGCATCCTGGATGGCGAGGACGAAAGGCGAGGCCTTGGTGTTGGCGCCAGAGGCACCGAGGAGACGAGGATCATCAGATCGGAGAATAATTCCGACAATGAAGAGGTTGATGACGTAGAAGAGAGCAATACGCCAAAAGACCTGCTTGGAGGCAGTGGGGACAGACTTGCGGGGGTTAGCAGTCTCAGCGGCGGCGAGACCAACCATTTCAGTACCACCGAAGGCAAAGGCTAGAGTCGTTAGTCATTGTATTCTAGAAGCGAAGCAGTGGGAAAGACCTACCAGCAATGGTAAAGACAGCGCAGAAACCCTTGAAGTTGGTGAAAGCACCAGGGTTGTCCCAGTACTTGGTGCCAAGGTAGCCCTGATCACCGACACCACCACAGTTGATGATGATGCCGAGGATGATGAATCCCAAACAAGCGCAGATCTTGATGGCGGACAGGACAAATTCGACTGCGATGCGTTAGTGGTGAAACGACGACGATGAATGCTATGCTATGCTTACCCTCTCCGTAACCACGGACACCAAAGATCTGAACGATGGTGAGAGCGACAAGGAAGACAGTGACCCAAACAGCCTAGCGAAAAGAGTTAGCTGACTGAACCTGTCAAAACGTCAAGGCGCATATGCCAAGACGACCGGGCAATCGCCAAGGCCGCCAAGGCAGATCACCAAGAGGAGAAATCTACGAACCATGTGGATGTCAGTGCGCCAGAACTCAATTGTCTTGGATGCAGCGATCAACTCAAAGGGAAGAACTGTAAGCCAGGACAGAGCGTATTCCCAACCACAAGCAAAACCCCAAGAGGGATCGACGAAGCGGACAATGTAGGTGTAAAAGGCACCGTTGACGGGGTACAGAACAGCCATTTCTGCGAGGGCGAGGTTGGTGCAGAGCAACATGACACCGATGATGAGATCTAGAACGTGTTGGTTATTTGCGCGGCATCGAGCGGGCGAGAGAGAAACTTACAGCCTGCGATGATTAATTAGCATTGATCCTCAGTGACGCGACGGTTTGTATCAGGGCTACTCACCAATTACCAGCGACGCGGGACCTCCCTTGTGAAGAGCACTACCAGAACCGACGAACAGACCAGCACCGATGGCACCTCCAATGGCAATCATCTGCATGTGTCGACCGCGGAGATCGCGCTTGAGCTGGCCCTCGCCCGAGGTCGTGCCCTGCTCCTCATCGTGAGGCGACGTGACCGTGGTCTCGTCCTTGGTCTCGTAATTCACCTCATCCTTGTGCGGTGACGACGACATGTTGGGCAGTGTTGTTACTGTGCGAGTACAGTAAAACAGAGAAGAAAGAGAAAGTATTAGAATGTCTGTCTCAAAACAAGAGCATCGCAGCAGGAACCTGGGCTTCCAAGTGTCTTTATGTGCCAAGCCCAAGTGCGACGCTAGGCAGCTTTGAACAAGCTTAAGATAAGCTTTAGCTGCTACGCTAGAGTGTGGATGGGCTCGGCGGGGTTCTTTCTCGATATCATCTCCTCCCCCGAGAAGGGGGAGGGGGGCAGGGATTGGTCTAGACCCCTTGTCTCTGCTAATTAAAACGAGACATTCCAATGCCACAGGTGCTGCACTGAGCTGTAGGTACTGGACTGGCTGCCACACTCAATTGTCGCCCGTGTTTCCTTGACATCTCTGGGCGCTTCTTGGCTGCCGACTTGGCAATCTCTTGTCCATCTTGGCGATGTGCACATATGTAATTACAGTTGCAACACATTCAGATCACGTTGCATTCGTTTTATATCGTGATGCTTTCATGCGTGGACCAATCTACTGGTAAAGCTGCCCTGTCAGCGACCAGCAATCCTTCTGGGCTTTTACAATCTGACCACCATACCAGTACGGAGACAAAAATACGACCAACCCGACCTTCTTATCAAGGACATGGTCCCAGGGCTCGCCACGGCTCTTTTGTTGGGTCCAGCGCCACGCCCGTTCCAGATAGCACTGGAGCTCTACAGATAGGGAGAGCCGACTGGATCACTTCTATTGGGCTGGCGTCCCCGACCGTGGCCACTTGCAGGGGGGAAACAGTCTTTCTCCAACGAACCTAAACGACGCAGAGCTTCAGCTCCTCTTTACCCCAGAGTCTCTCCAAACACGACCTCGACAGGCTGGTCATGCGATGGGCCCTTGGTCAAAGGAGCATTAGCCTTTTGCGGTCTAGACCAAGGTTCTGACTGTGTACCATATCTGCCCCCGAAACTGCTGTTACGTCGCAAAAACGGTCATAGCTAGCGCGCTATGGTGCCATTTCTTCATTTCCCTTCCTCTCGTGCGGGCGGTTGTTCTAGAACACTTCCTCAGGATCAACCACTGCACCCTCGGACAGCAAATCACAGCCCGTCTACGTTATCACTATCGCTGATAGCTCCAAACCTCGGGCCCCGCACAACCACCACCAGCCGGTCCCCGACCTACCGCTTTAGGAAGGTATCTACATACCCGCAGATAAGCTGGTGCCGGGCTTCCGGTTGCCAATGAATCTGCTGACTTATCCTACACGACAGCACCAGCAGCACGCAGTAGAGAAAACTTGGGGTCCTACAGTAGCTTGAGTAGACAAGCTGCCAGGGGTTGAATAAAGTATTGAAGTCTATTCAAGAACACGAATTCCCCTCTCCCGAGTATAAGCGGCGCCAAGTGACCCCATGTGACCATTTCCAGCTCTGGGGGTTAACCCCATGTTGCTTAGTGTCACAGCCTTGACCACCCAATTTATCGTTCAAGACCATAACGAGGACGATGAGAGGCGCGGCCTTCCCGTGATGAATCCACCTAGATTGCCGGTATCCATCAGCGATTGCGAAACCTAGATATGAACGATGGATCGTGCCATGATAGTGATTTATATCTTTTTTGCCCCGTTCTGATGATAGCAGAGTTGATTACAGTCATCGAAATCAAGTCCCGCAGTGAAGCTTTGTCGTAAGATGTCGTGTCTGAGGCGTCAACCGGCGGCATGTCGAAATAGAGTATACCTTCAATTGACCTAGATCACTACACATGCAAGCCAGTGGCGCCAGGACACCACGGATCTCACCTTGCAACATCAACCAACTGCTGTTTGTGGCAAGGGCAGGTCAACCTGACTTAAACTTGGAGTAACCCTTGTAGCTCTCCCCCCAACCGAGGGTGGCGTATTGGGGATTGCGAGCTTCTAGCTCTTCTGAGAACCCCCAAATGATTGGTTCCACCATGATCTGCAATCTTCCAGAGCTTATACCCAGACTGCTCCGGCCAACCAGGGACAGAACAACACATAGTCTCGAATAGGTAGCAGCCAGATAGTGAATATGACAGGCGACGGCTTCCTCGGGCTAGTTCCTAGTCAGTCTTACCTCGGATCTGACCTTCCCTTTTGTAAATCGACATGGGTAGCAAAAGTTCCTCCGATTCTGGTGCCCGGCTGCAGTGCTTAATTACCTTGGACTCTACGGAGTATGGTATAGAGGGTGATCATACCCTACAGTACTACTATCGATGCAGCAGTCTTCTAGAATCCCTCAATCCTTCCATGATTAAGGTTTACGCATGCATACACGATTCGCTGTCAAGATCGACATGTGAGGGGGCATTTGCCGTGAGGTCAGCCTTAGTTAAATCGGTGAGACGAGAGTGTGAACGAAGAGTCAAGTTGTTACCTAGAATAAATGGACTACCTGAACTACGTGGTTCTCTCTCTTGAACAGCTTAGCGCTATTTTATATGAGAGTTTTTGAAAGAGAAGGTGATTAACAAAACTGTCCGGGGTCGCAAGCCATCGAAAGTCACGCAATAGGACACCAACAATACCCCTGCCAAGCAAACATAGGGCACAGCATAGTTAATTCCCCAACACGAACACGTGCTAGCTTGATACTGCATGTGACATTAGTTGCAACTAGCGAGTACGGAGTAGTCAGTGTCATTGGTACAAACAATGAAATCGCTCATCCCATTCAATCTCAAGTCTGTACTCTACTCCTATCTCAAGACAAGTTGCCAGTACTAGATCCCTTCTTAATTTCCTCCCTCCAAGCACTCCTCTCCACCTCCGAAACACCAGGTCCCTTGTAAACACTGCCATAAAGCCCAGTAGCCCAACTCTTCCCATCAGCAGCAGCCTGACTCTCGGTAGTTTGAGACTTTAAATACTTCTTGGACGTAAAATGTCTTTTGTACCATTTTCCATATGTAAGAAGATAGTAGAGTCGGAAACACAAGAACGCAAACTTGTCGTTCTCCAGGTCTTCAGGGTAGTTGGCGCCTAGATCCACGGCAGCTGCAATTCCGGACATGACGGCGACTTCGTGGGCGTTGACAAGAGTCCAAGACGCTGCGAAGCGAGTGTGATTTTTGGCGTTGAGGAACATCATCCACGGAATGACAAACAGATAATGAGTATAGCCGTGACAGAGTTGATGCCACCAGTCCTTTCGAATGATCTTATCCTCGGCAATCTCATTATCAGTCCAAAGCTTGCTGTCCCGATCTTTGTTGAGATAAATAGTCTGGAAGACATGTTGCTCAAAGGGTACCTTTTCAGGGAATTGGCTCTGGTAGTTCGTGCAGTCGAAGCACATTTCAAGCTTGGACTTGTCCTCTGGGTACATCTTGATGTAGTACATGGGTCGATATTCTGTCTTTGCAAACGCCAGACGATCCGATTGGTCCGTCCCGTTGACGTTCGCGACAGCCAAATCATCACGATAAAAGTTCTCGTAGTGTTTCTTCATGTAGTCGGAATCATTGTGAGTGATTGTAATATCGTCGCTGAATTTTGCGGAACCTAAGACCTTCTTCTCTTTCCAGGTGGCGGTCCTGCCGAGGACTTTCTTTGCCGTGTCGGCGAGACAGCAGAGCACAATCTCGTCGTATTTCTCCTCGCCAACGGGTGCATCGGGATCACCGCCGTTGGGGTTATGATGATCTGGCATCGGTGTCCTCGGCTTGAGCTTCACAACAACGCCATTCTTGTTTCTCTGGACAATCTCGGTCAACTCTGTTGAAAGTCGAACGGTGACTCCGCGAGAAACAAGATCCTTTCTCCAGGTCTCGTAGAACTCTGAGAATTTGGGGAACACAATCATGGGTGGTTGGTTGCTAATGACGGTATTTCTATCGGACGGATACCACATTCCATAAGTTGGTGAAGTACATAATCTCTCAAACATAATCGCAGGAACTTCAGGCGTAGCATTGCCGGTTCCGAGGAACAGCGCCGTCATCGGCAGAGCAATATTGTTGGTGAATTCCTCGGAGAATAAAAACAGCTTGAAGACAAGCTTCAGCGGAAGCAGGGCGAAGAAAATCTCGAACCAGCGCATGAACTTGAGAACGGTGGTCAGGCGACGAACTTCCTTCTGATGGCGCACCAGAAGTTGAGTTGGAAATACGTTATTCCAGAACGTCTCGTCTTTGCCGAACGAAACGTGCAGGTTGCAAGGGTCTGCGCGATAGCCCTGTCTGGAGAACATGGTAACGGTATGATGAAAGATGTAAGATCCTCCTTGGACACCTTGGTTGCACCAGGAAGCTCCATGTCGTTCTTTGTCAATCGGAATGGAGAATGCTTGACCGCCGCAGTAGTCAACTGCATCAATCAGGGTCACGTCGAATTTATCTGGATGTTCCGAAAGATGGTAAGCAGTAGACATGCTGTTTTTGTCAGTATCTTCCAGAATTCTGAGTCGAACTCAACTTACCCAGCTGCACCAGCACCTACAACCAACACCTTCTTCCGCCCATCTCTACCTTTATCTCCGTTCTGAGCCATCAGTCCTGCGCCGTCGTGCTCAATATCAGTATTGAACGGTTCCTGAGACATAGATACCAAGATCAATCGCTAACAAAATTATCGCAAGCCTTTGACAGACCAGGAATTTCTTGCAAGGACAAATTGATATATGCATGATACAAGTAAGTCATGACGGGCTTGACTTTGCTGCTGACGTCAATGACTCAGGTGGGCCTCGCGTCAAAGGTTTCACCGATTTGAGCTTAGAGTAAGGTTAGTATAGATCTTGACTCCACGCTAATCTCTGGAGACACAGATTCTTCGATCTGGTGGGGAAGATCGATCTCGGTGACTAATAATCCGATGCGCATCCAGAGTCGTGTCGCGTACGCGTCGCGTTGATCAGAACGCGCTGTTGGCTGCATGAGTATCTATGGGTTCATGCTGGATATCTACTGTTTTTTATTTGAATTATATAGGGAATTGAGAGGAGTCGCACAAGGCTCTTCACTCACTACATATATGGATATGT